TCTATAGACTTTGACTTTGTTTTAATGCATCTTTATTTTACCAAAAAAAAAAAGACTTTCTCATATGTCGTGATTCATCACCTACACATACCGTCACATACTATATATCACTCAAACTAAATCATGTAGAAGCATGATATATTTTGACAGTTCTCGAAAGAAAGAAGTTTGAATTTCTAGAATTCCCGATGTCTTGTTGCTACCAAGTATCTAGGAATCCAAATTCCCAAGTGGAAAAAAAAAATAAAAAAGAAAAGGGTATGATCCGACAATTACCATGAAGAAGCCCCAACCTTGACATCTTCTTCTAAGGTCTCAGATTGCTTGAAAACGCTAATCAGTATTGTCGAAACTAAGGTATGAAAAATCGATGAAAGCGATTGAAACTTGAGGGTTTGAGGCAATATGCATATGGGTGTGGGTGTTGCAATAAGCATAGCAAGAAGGGATGGAGTTGAGGCATAGTGATTCTGCTAATAGTTTAATGCTTGACAAATTTTTTGATGGTTGAACAAAATTATTATGGCATTGTATATTATGGATATAGTATGGTTCAAATAGTTATTTTTCATGTAATATGATTTGGAATTCAGCTTGTGTTTATTTTAATTGAGAATTTTATGATTGTAAAATTTATTAACTTAGAATTTTGTACTTCATTGAAACTAAAAAAGAAAATTAATCATGCTACATAGTACTAAAATGTCATTTGCACTCTATTTGCTTTCCCTATTATGATCTCGTTCTTGTATTCTACTGTTTATATAGTTTCAAATACAAAAAATTTACTTTTTATGCTATCTAAAAGAATTTGCAGTGGAACTTGATGAGTTTAAATGCTTTAGCTATAGCACCATTTTGATTGCATTGTATGAATTCATTTACTCATAATTGTATGCTGTACAATGATAAATAATGTTTCTTGATTTGATTGAAGCAACTATTATCCATAGTTCAAACGAATCAATTAAGTAGAGTTGCTATATTGGATACTCATACAAGTAAACATTGAAAAATATCATTAAGCAGTTTCTACCTACAGTTTGCAATTCAAATTCATATGAGGAATTTATTCTGATTTTAGTTACCATTTTTTACGATTTCAAATTTAGAAAATATTATTTGCACCAATTTTTTATAATCAAGATAGTTTCAATTTAGATCTTTAACAATTATGCAGATTTGAACTTATTTATGAGATTATAAAGAAATGCCCCTAGCAAAAAACACCAAATCTAAATAGTTTCTACAAAACTTTGAAAAAGACCACTTAAGTTTCTTATCTATCTATCATTTTTGGGCATTATTATCTTTGTAAGAAACATGTGATTAAGTCGTATTATGCCCACCAAATTATATAAATAGTTAGTCTAAAATAAAATTATTTTAGATTAGATTGGATGTAAAGTGATTGATGGATAAACTTGACTTGATAATTCAGGTTGAGCTTAAGTCGAGGGAGAAATCAGAAGCATTACTTAAGGGATCTTTCACGAACATATATAGATTCGAGAGATGAGGGGTTCAATTGATACTTTAAAATGTTTTATCATCTTGGATAAGTTTTAGAAGAGACTTTTGGATAATTTTCAATTGCACTTTAAACATTTTTACCTTTTCAAACCCCTTATCTTTGCGGTTGAAATTCAAATATAACCTTTGATCACAACGGATTCTTACATAGTATAACGATAAGGATATTTTATTACACATTATTTTATTGACTCACTACGTAACTTATGTTTTTTCTATTAAAATCACATGATAAAATCATCATACTTCAGTTCCTATACTACAAAATATTAAACAATAATTATTAATTATCTTGAATTACAACCACCAAATTCCTGCGCGTCGCACGGACTGTCCCTCCCTATAGTATATATATATATATATATATATATATATATATATATATGATTATCATCTTTGAGCAGATAACTATATAATACAATTATAAAAGACAAACACCTCAGGATCCTTATTAAATAAATTTTTGAGTTATGATAATGGCCAGATCAGCGTACCAGTTATCATAATTCAGTAAACCATTTACCTAAAATAAATACAGTATAACCATAAATGTAGCATGGTGATCACTTAATCCTTCCAACATTAATATGCATAAGTAGCCCCCTTCGGGCATGTAATTATGATAACATTTTTAGAAGACAGACATTCCAAAATCTTGTCATATAATTTTATGAATTAAAACAATAGCCACTTCGGTGGTACTAATTGTAATAATCCATTAAATCATTTAATGAGGCAATATTTTATGTCAACGGATAATAAATTTAACTATGACATTGGCAAACTAAAACTTGTTTGCTCAAAATAAATCCCAAACCTTTTGTCCAATTTGTTTAAAAACCTTATTTGTGCTTGTGAAATTATGGACAAAGGAAATATATGACATATTTTATAAATACATGAACCAAGAAAGCTAACCCAAATATTACGTCAAAGGTTCATATTTCGAGTAACAATTTCAACTTTTAATAAAAACCCAAGTTGAAAATCAATATAGAATTTCAAAATATGAACATCTCAGGATCTTTATTAAATAATTCTATAAATATAATAAAGGTCACTTTGGTGATACCCTTCACTATAATTCAAGAATTATTTAACTGAAACAAGAAGCCTATATAAGCACATAATCTCTTTTATATCATTCACAAAAGAGCAACATACATAAACTGTAATTTAAATATGCTAATGAAATTCTAAGAAGGAACTATGTTTCAAGAGACCTTAACTAACCTTAAGGTCATCCATCGATGCATTCAATTAAATGGATTGACTTGAAACCGAAACTGGAGAAACTTAATCAACATTCATGTCAAAACCCCATAAGATTTGCCAAAGATTCATATCTATAATCAACATTCATCAACCATATATAGTCTAAGTGCTTAGGAAAGTTGCCAAATCGTCTTCTCTTCTTCTGTGTGGTGCTGATGTGTCGCTTTGTCATGGGTGGAAATGTTGTCGTCCTCCTCCACGTGCTCAATGCTTGCTTTGTGGTGTTGGGTGCGTTTTGAATGAATGGGTTGTGTTTTGCCTGCTTGTATGGAGCCGAAAAAAAGGACTTTTGCCTATAAAAATTTTTTTTTTACCGCTTGCATGGAACCCAGCAATGGACCGCTAGTGGTGATAAATAATGATGGAGCGATAGTGGTGATAATGACAATCATGGACCGATAGTGGTGATAATGATGCAATTTTCCTTTCAATTTTACCTAATGTCAGGTTTTTTGTCAGATTAACTTTCCTTTCACTTTACCTAATGTCAGATTTTTGGTATTCAGTCAATGTGACAGCTCATGAATTACCTATTTACCCTTGATTTACATGTTTATTTACAATCTTTTTTTGTGAGTTGACTTAGTTTTGTTCTGTTGGGTTATATATGTCAAAAGAATGCTTAGCCACTGTGCAGACTTTCAAAGAGGCCTCTCTTCTTTGACTCTGATACTTTCCAACGTCCTTCTCCGTACTGCCATTCAACCTGCTCCATTCTTTGTATTCTGGATTTTTCAGATGTTATCATGCTTTGTAGTTGCTTTACGCTTTCGGTTACCATTTTCCCTCCTCCGTTCTATTGTTTCAGTTATAGCTTGGTTTGGCTTTCTTTTCTTTGCTTGTTGGTCTGTTCTTTTGAGCCTTTCGTTTCTATTCGCCTGCTCCAGCAATATTGTCTCGGTAAGTCATTCATTTATCGATTTATATGCTTTTTTGCTATTGTTGCTTATGAACTGTGGAAACTTGGCTCATTTTTCCCACTAACTTTGTTCTTTTTCCCCCTTCCCCTGCTGATAAATGCTGGTCGATATATGCCTCTGCTTTTGTGGTGAGCTCATTTTTTTCAAAGAAAAAAAATCCCGCCTTTTTCCTTCCTTTCTAGCATCTCATGTTACTGTGGGTGCCGTTTTCTCTTTTACAGCTTTATTTGATGTCCTTATTTGTCGAATTTGGCCGCATTTTCATCCTTGCGTGGAGCCTGCTATGGACTTCATCTTCTCTTATGTCTTTTGGCAGAAATTCCCTTGCAGGTTAGATGCTTGTTTGTTTGTGCCTGCATCAGTTGGTCGCTGTTTTTTTCGCCTTCCTGGTCATTTCACGCTTTACGCCTTTTCCCCAACATGCATGCCAACTTCACAATATGCATGCTTGCTTTATTGCTTTCCCTTGCTACGTTCTTGCAGTATAGATGCTGTCCATGCATGTTATTATCGTTTCGTTATATAACTTTTTATATTCTATTATTTACAAGAATGTGCGTTTGTTGTCTTCTTTAATTTTGACCCTGCTATGTTCTTTTGTACTTACTGTAATTTCCCGCAAATCCATTATATTTGGACTATTTCTTCTTAGCTCTTGGACTGTTCCTTCTTAGCTGTTTTAGTGAGATGGCTACAAATGCGCTGCGCTGAACGAATTACGTGGAAATTTCTTGCAGTGATATTTGCCCAATTAGGGATGCCTCTAATTTTTTACTCAGAACCCAATCTGTAAATCTTGAATTTGTCTTGTACCTTCAATTTAAATAGCCTTATCTGTACATTTCCTATCTTGGCCATTTATGGCTCATTCATCTCAGGTGAATACCACCTATCTTTGCTAATTGGTGTGTTCTCTTTTGCTGTCATAAACTTCGCAGTAAACCCTGCAATAGAGTAAAAAAGGTGCGGTTCCAACTGACCATTTTCTTCTAGGGGATACATCTTGAAGATTAGCTTCAGGATATAAAGATGAGTTATTTAATAGTCTATTACGTCAGACTGTGTATATAGTTGTCTTTGTTTAGTTATAGCTCCATTTTCATCGACTATGTATATGGCTGTTTTTCCCCCCTTCCTGGTTATTTCATACTTTAGAACCATGCGCGTTTGTCGTCTTCTTTAGTTTGGATTCTGCTATGTTCTTTTATACTTACTGTCGGTTCGCGCAAATTTATTATATTCAGCCTGTTCCTTCTTAGCTCTTTTAGTGAGATGGATAGAAATGCTCTGCGCCGCAAGCGTTACGCGGAAATGTCTTCCGATGATAAGGCTGCCCTTTCACGTCGGAGGCGTGAGGCCAGGCTTCGTAAGAAAAAGGAGAAACCATCGCGCTCTTATCTTCGTAAGGTCCCGTTCGGGCATGTTGAAACTGGTGTTTGTTTCTCTGATTTTGCTCCTGCTCGTAATGATAAGCTAGCAGGTGGTCACAATCAGATTGCTGATCATCATCCTGCTGCACCTAAAGAATCGTTGAACTATATGTCTACCGCTATAGCTACCTCGCTGTGCCTATCCAGTGGAGCTGCTTCCTCTTCCCCGCACTTAGTACAGTGTAATTTAGTTCCAGAAGGTATAAATGCCGTGGTCCTAGACTAGCAGTCTGCCCCGGAGCCATTTAGCTCTTTAATTGTTTTTCCCGTGTTGGCATCTTTTCCTGTCTTCGTTCTCTCTACACTTCTCTGAGACAAGTTAGGCCATCTATTTGTTCGCTTTGCAGCAATTCTCCTGGGTGGTACAGTTCACCCTAGCCAACATCAACCAGTTTGTAGTGCTACAAAGATGAAAGAGCAAGCCTTTTTCTCTCCTCATCATTCAACTACTGTTCAGCCTTCTGACCTGATCCATACCAATTTCCGGTCTGAAACATTGGATCACCCTTCAGATAGCATTGTTAGAAGCTCCAACCAGAATCAACAAACTCTTGATGCTCTTAATGAAAATGCCCGTATCACCTCTAACGCTGTTAAGACCTTAAACTTTCAGCCCCTTAGCTCTCTCAATTCAACGGCTTCAAATTTCCTTTCCAGAAACTGTGTTTCTTCTTCTGCTGCATTCAATCTTCCATCTATGAACATCTGTCACGGTACAGGTATTGCAGCACTTGGGAATCTTTTTCGCTATTTTCCTTTTCGCTCCTGATATCGTCATCTTTTGTCTGCTATTCCTATATATATAAGACCATCTATATCTCTGCATTGCTGCAGCTTCGTGCAGCAGCATAGTCCCCTGTAGGAAATGTTCTGCACAGAATCGTTCTCAGAAAAGAAAAAAGAACGACCTTCTCCCTTCCCATTATTTACCTCATAACCACTGTTCTAAGCAGAAGCATCTCTGTCATCTGTCTGCAGCAGCATCCCCCTTTTCACAAGCTACAGTTGCAGGCCTTAATGAAAATGAACAATCCTGCCGTCCTCCCGCTGAAGGTTTGACTAGCATCTTTAAACCTATTGATAGGTCAAATTTTAGATTCCTTACCTCTTCTGCTACTTCATCCTTAGACCACTTATGTGAGCATGATGTGTCTTCTCCTGTTACATTCGAAACTGACTCTTTTACACCTGCTCAGCCTATACGTATTATTCGTTCACTTTCCTAATTCTTTTTCCTTTCTTTCAGTGTTCAACCTCTATCTTTTAAAAAAAAATTAATTACCCCCATCTAAGACAATCCTGTGTGCTATTTCCAGCTTATTAGAATTCATGATTGTATAATTGTGGATGTCCTGTCACTTTAAGAGCAAACAGTTACTTTCTTAGAATAATACAACCGTTTGCCAGGCAACACAAACGGGACCAGCAAATCATCTGATTGTGCTGTTGCTCTTCCAGCTACTACAAGCGATCATTCAAACGTTATATTGACAAGGAGGAGGCAATCAGGTTGCCCTTTGTTTGTTTGTCTTATTTCTGAACTTTTTCCCCATATTCCCTTCATATTATACTTCTTTGAGCTTTCCTTATCAACATCGTTCCCATCACATAACCTAAACTGCAGGGCCAGTTACTAGATGCCGTCGCTCAAAAAAATCTAAGATTGATGAAATTCCTAAAGAATCTTTATTGCTGCCTGATGCTCCTGATTGTCAATATTGTGGAGCTAAAAGATTTCATTTGGAACCCCCTAGCTTTTGTTGTTCCCAAGGAGAAATTTCTATTGTTGCTCCTGCAATGCCTTATGCTCTAAAGCATTTATTTATAGGAAATGATGAAGAATGCGAGCATTTTAGAAGATTGTCTCGTACTTATAACAATAACTTGTCCTTCACCTCATTTGCTGCAAAGTATGACCCAGAATTGACAAGGAATGCAATGGGAGTGTATACCTTTCGTGTTCAGGGACAGGTTTATCATTTTCTAAACAGTTTGTCACAGCCTGATCATAAGCCTTGTGGGATCCATCTCTACTTTTTTGATACCGATGAAGAATTGACCAAGCGAGTCGCTGCTTCTGATAAGTTACGTCAGAGCACTTTAAAGCTTCTGATGGACATACTTTCTCATAATCCTTATGCTAGATTCTTTAAGGATCTAAGGGATGTTCCAGATCTTGAAAAGCATAATATTGTGCTTAACTGTTTTCCTGGCCTTGACCAGCGTATCTATAATCTTCCTTCTACTTCTCAAGTTGCCGCTATATGGACTGAACATGATGATGAATCAGTCAATAAGCAAGCGCATATTCTCGTTTATAGCCACTCAAATGCTGCTCACAAGGTCCAGCATTATTATGCTTGTTATGACCCTTTGCAGTATCCTCTCTTATTTCCTCGTGGTGAATCTGGATGGCACCACGGAATTAAACGAGTCTATAAAAGAAAGCGAACTGATCATTCCTGTGATGAAGAGGTTATCATTGATCCCTCTTCTTTACAGGAACCAGCCCAACTTATGGATTTAGAAAAGAGAGGCAAGTACATCTCCTAGCTTTTATAATTTCCCAGTTCCACGATTATCAAAATAAACTTTTGTTTACATGTACCATTTTTTCATTTCCTATAGCTGCTGATCATGGAAAGAAGGATGAACATACTGTATCAGCTAGAGAGTATTACTGCTATAGGTTCCAGATAAGGAAAAATGATGAATCCATGCTATTGCATACTCTTAGATTGCTGCAGCAATTTTCTGTTGATTCCTATGTAAAAATTGAAACGTCTCGACTGGATTTTCAGCGCAAGAGGCAAAATGACGTTCGAACAGAAATCCTTGCAGGAGTATTGGATAGTGTTTCCATTGGTCAGAGTGAAGGCTCAAAAGTTGGTCGTAAAGTGATATTACCAGCTTCTTTTATCGGTGGGCCAAGAGATATGAGGCGGAGATATCTTGATGCAATGTCATTAGTACAAAAATATGGAAAGCCGGATATTTTTCTCACCATGACATGTAATCCAATGTGGAAAGAAATTCAAGATAATCTGCAATTTAAGGAAAAACCTCAAGATAGGCCAGATCTTTTGTCTAGAGTATTCAGGGCAAAATTTGAAATGCTCAAGGCTGAACTTTTAGACAGAAAAATTTTTGGAGAGGTCGCTGCATGCGTTTACGTTATTGAATTCCAGAAACGTGGCTTTCCTCATGCTCACTTGTTATTAATCTTGAGACCACAATTCAAGCTGCTTAATCCTGAGTCATACGATAGAATAGTTTCTGCTGAGCTCCCTGATCCTAAGCAGTTCCCTCATTTGTATTCTCTTGTTCTTAAGCACATGGTTCATGGACCTTGCGGGGAAATGGGCAGGAATAGCCCTTGTATGAAAAATGGTAGCTGTAAAAATCATTATCCAAAAAACTTCTGTGAACACACAACTCATGCCGAAGACAGCTATCCATACTATAGGAGAAGGGATAATGGCAGAAAGATAACTGTCCGCAGGTTTGAACTTGACAATAGATGGATCATTCCTTATAATCGTTATCTTTTAGCCTTGTTTGATTGCCACATGAATGTAGAAATCTGTTCTACTTTGAAGCTGGTTAAATATTTATACAAGTACGTCTTTAAAGGACACGATCTTATCAGTTTCAAAATTATATCTGATGATTCCCGTCCTGATGTCGATGAAATTAAAGAATTCCAGCAGGGAAGATGGATTTCACCTCCTGAGGCTTTTTGGCGCATCTTTGAATTTAGGCTAAACGAGATGACTCCAGCTGTCTATACTCTCCAAGTTCACCTACCTGGGCAGCAGCTTATCACTTTCAACAAAAACTCAGACCTTTTGCAGCTACTGAGGAAAATTGATTTCTCAAAGACCATGTTAACTGAGTTCTTCAAGATGAACAAAACAAATGCAAAGGCTGAAACGTTGAAGTGCTTTTATAGGGAATTTCCAGAACATTTTGTTTGGTCTTTTAAATTTAAAACTTGGACTGAGAGAAAGCGTAAAAAAGCCATTGGAAGGCTGGTCACGGTCAGCCCTCGTGAAGGAGAGAGATATTACCTTAGACTCCTGCTAACTCATGTTCGAGCACCTACGTCATTTGATGACCTGTTAACTATTAATGGCCAAAAAATGAATTGCTTTAGAGATGCTGCTTTGGCCCTTGGACTTTTACAGTCTGATACATATATACAAGAGACTCTTGAAGAAGCAGTTGTTTTCCAAATGCCATCCTCTTTGAGACTGTTATTTGCTACTATTCTTGTTCATTGTGCTCCAGCGGATCCTAAGTTTCTTTGGGACAAATTTCAGCTAGATCTCTCTGCAGATTACCAGCGATCCCAACATCTTTGTTTTTATACGGCTGAAGAAATTAGAAATAAAGTCCTACAGGAAATTAAAAGAATGGTCGAACAAATGGGTAAAAGCTTTGCTGACTACCACTTAGCTGTAAACACTTCAGCAGATGTTCACTCTGATCAGCTAACAAAGGAAATTGAATGTGAGAGGAATATTGAAGTTCTGGCAGAGGATCTTCTAATGCCTTTTAGATTGAATGTTGAACAACGGCATGCCTATGATTTAATTCTCCAGTCAGTTTTCTCTCCTGTTGGCCAAAGTTTTTTTATTGATGGCCCTGGAGGAACTGGCAAGACCTTCCTATATAGGTCTCTTCTAGCTACTTTGAGATCCCAAGGCCACATTGCCATTGCGGTTGCAACGTCAGGTGTCGCAGCCTCTATTCTTCCAGGAGGAAGAACAGCCCACTCTAGATTTAACATACCGTTAGATTTTTCTAGAAATAAAACCTGCCAGATTAGTAAACAGGGCAGTATTGCAAGATTACTTTTTCAATCAAGGTTAATCTTGTGGGACGAGGCTTCAATGGCCAAACGAGAAACTGTTGAAGCCTTTGATGGTTTGCTTAGAGATATAATGGACTGTGACGTTCCATTTGGAGGAAAAGTAGTTGTTTTCGGTGGCGATTTTCGTCAAACTTTGCCAGTTATCAGACAGGCTACAAAACTGGTTCTTATAGAATCTAGTCTTCCTAGCTCTCATTTGTGGTCTTCCATGCAAAAGCTCCAGCTGGTACAAAATATGCGAGCCATCTTAGATCCAGCATTCTCAGAACTCCTATTGAGAATCGGAGAAGGAAGAGAAGCTGTTGATAGGCATGGTGAAATAACTTTACCTTCTGAGATGGTCATTCCTTATACTGAAAAAGAAGAATCTTTGAACAGGTTAAAGAATTTTCGCTTCCAAGTCCTGCTTTTATCTGGTCATTCCTCTGTAGTTGAATATTTATATATTCTTACTCAGATTTCTTACAAACAGGTTGCTTCAATCTGTTTTTCCGGATTTAACTATGTATTCAAAAGATCCTTATGGTATGATCAATAGATGTGTCCTTGCTCCAAAAAATAGCTCAGTGGATGAAATAAATGACCTAATGATCAGAAGATTTCCGGGAAATCTTCATGTCTATGTCAGTTCTGATAGAACCGTTGATCCACGACATCAAGGAGACTATGAAGATTTCTTGAATTCTCAAAATCCAAAAGGCCTTCCTCCTCACAAGCTACTGCTCAAAGAAAATTGTCCAATCATGCTTATAAGAAACCTGAACCCTACAGAAGGATTGTGCAATGGTACACGACTCATTTGTAGAGAGCTGAGGCAGAATACTATCTGTGCAGAAATTGCTTTTGGTCAGCATCAAGGAAAGAGAATTTTCCTCCCTAAAATTCCTTTACAAGTGTCTGATGATGACAAAAATGGCCTGCCATTTATAAGAACACAGTTTCCTGTTCGTGTTTGTTTTGCCTTGACAATCAACAAATCCCAAGGCCAAACACTAGATTATGTTGGAATCTACCTTCGCGAACCAGTTTTTTCTCACGGCCAACTATATGTTGCTTTATCTAGAGTTAAAACTTCTGCAGCACTTAAAGTTCTTATTCTGCCTGGAACTTTTGATGGAATAAAAATAGATTGCAAGACTAGAAATGTAGTATTTCAGGAAATACTTCAGCTAACTGAACACTAGCACTGCATGTTACAGTTATTTAAAGTTAAGGTTTGTTCTCCATGATTATTATTTAGTTGTTATAATACCTGCAATGCAATTCTCTATTCATACTCACATTTGATAGATATTTCCTTTATTGTTTTCCATTCAGCATGGACAAGCTCTTATCCATAAAAGAAATTGTACCTGATATGCAAGACTGGTCATGCAAAGTTATTGTTCAGGAAAAACAGCAAGTTACCCAATCACTGTCGACACCAACAAAGAAGCAAAAATTTATTTTTGTTGATGCAGAGGTAAATAGATACAACCCCTGTATTTAAAATTTCTGTTGATATTCTATTCGTACTCACAACTGATTGATTCTTTAACATTTTTCTTTATGCAACAGGGATCAAAAGTTGAAGGCATTATTTTCAACCATGACATTGCTAGGGTCGGACCAATCTTGCAGGTCTACAAAAAATACAGAATAGCGAATGCTGTGGTTAGACCAATCCACCCAAAATATCAAACAGCTGAACTCACAATACAGTGGGTGCTCACTAGTAAAACTGTCATTGAAGAGGATGCTGATGACGAAGATATAATGCCTGTCAAATTTAACTGCACTCAATTCACAGACTTGGCACAGTACATGGATCATAAGGATAAATCTGTGGGTATGTATGTAGTGTATTACACATATATCATGAGTTTCGGCTTAGAACAGCTTTTACAAGAACGTTTCCCTTTCACAGATGTCCTTGGAATTGTTATTGAAGCACAGGACAGCAGGATCATTAATAAAAATTTCAAAGAATCTGTTGTTCAGAAATTCGTCCTTGTCAATGAACAGTATCCTTCCCTTTCTACTGCTCTTCAAACTTTTACTTAGCTCCATTTTCATTGTTTTTTATATGTCTTATCTATCTTAACAGCTGCTTATTGTCTTCATTTTAGATCGCAAACTGTCATGCTTTCCATGTGGGATGATTTCATCAAGAATGAAGGCCAGCAGATATTATCTGACATACACAACTACCCTGTCATCATATGTCGCAGGCTGAAAGTTAGCAACTATAATGGTAATTCTGCATCTGTACATCTTCGTTTTAATTCCCATTTCCATGAAAAAACTAATACAGCAGCCTTGCCAACGTATCATCATTCTTAATCCTATAGGAGTTGCGCTGTCGACATGGTTTGATTCGGCGATCCTTGTTGACCCTCCTGTACAGGAAGCAAGAGAATTAAAGAACTGGTATTGAATAATTATTTATGTCATCTAACCAATTGATCATCTATAATCAATTGTTTCCATTACTATTTCCATCTCGTCTATCACAGGGCGATGAGAAATACCAACCTACTTGCAGCAATCATTGATGAAAAAAGCTATATTAAGTATAACCCTAACATGTCAGTGAAAGCAGATCAGAAAATCACTTTAATTTCAAATGTCAGACCATCACAGAAGGTTCAGCACTTTTTCCTCTAATCTGTCATTTGACTATCCATTTACATATTAACATATGAGTTAACACAGTGCCTTTCAATGTTGGCTTTTAGAATATATGGGTTAAAGCAAGGTTCTCTTTTCAGCACATATTCCAGAAATACTGGTATATGAGCTGTAAAAAATGCTGCCGGGGTACTGCTGCTGCAGATGGAGTTATTTTTATGTGTAATACATGCAAAGAAAAGCATCCTGCTCAGCCCAGGTAGTTACTTTAAAATACATTAGCGTATAAGTTCCGCTTGCTCATTATTGACCTTTTGCTTAATAGACATACCTCACTGAAATTTACATGCATCTATAGGTGTCGCTTTGATATCGATTTATGTGATCATACTGGTGCCATCACAGCTTCTGTGTTTGGAGAACAAGCAGAAAAGCTGCTAACCTTCACTGCTTTTGAAATAATGGACCATTTTAAGCAGGCATGTTCTCCTTTAAAAAAATGACTGTCAAATTATTATTATTTTCATTTAATTCTTATTGCAGTAGCCATCTTATTGTGCATATAATCCTTATTCATTTCCTTATTTTTTTCCTCCATGTTTTCTTTTCATAGAACATTGAACTCCCTCTTGAGGCTGTCCATAACGAGCTGGAGTCAAAGTGGTTTCTGGTGCACATAAAACCAGTGCAAACTCAAATGGCTGATGCAAAGCAGCGTTATACAATTATCTACTACTCTGAGGTTCTCGATACTAATGTTGTTCAATCGCCAACTCAATGCAAAAGTGATACTTTATTAATTGATCTCCAGGCTGACACTGCTACCACCAACACTTCAGGTATCGCCAACTGAGCAGTAACCTTGTACAGTACCAATCCATCAACAAAACCTTTATTACCTTCTCAAAGCAGAAATAATAGTTCACAAACACCAGTTCACCAGTTCAAAAAATCCTTTGTTCTTCTACCTATATTAAACAATTGAATAAATGTTTACTTATCATTGTTTCTTACTATTTTGCCTTTCTTAACAAAATTGATTTTACTACAGGATCTGCACCTGTTAAAGAAACCAAACCAGCTTCAAAGGCTAGACAATGTCTAACTGAAAAACTTGAGCTGTTAGCTGATGAAAGCAATAGTAGTTCCCACAGTGCCACTGAAAGCTCCAAGAAGAAGGCAAAGCTCATTTAGATTGTTGTTACTTATTTTTGTATTGATAACGACGAATAGTTAGCACTATTGGACGTTCTTATCAATTAGATTTTGTTCAGCACTCTGTTCTGCTGGAGAAGCCATGCTACCTATGCTTGATCCCTTTCTTTTGACCTTTATTTTATTTGGTATTTTATTTTGCCAAGGGAACTATGCTACCAGTGCTTGATTCCCTTTCTTGGAACTTACAGCTAAAATTAAAAAACTTTTGTGTCTTGTTCTGCTGATTTTCTGACTAGACATTTTACTGCCATTTACCTTTTTTCACCTATTCAATCTTTACATTTCAATTACATGCTCGTTGCTCTCTAGTTACAGCAGAACATAACAATCACAATTTTACTCTAAAGTTATCTAGTTCTCCATTAATTATTCAATAGATATAATGGATATACAATCAATTATAACGTATACTTGTCATTGCATGAGCATCCTCAGCTCCTAAGCTATTGATCCAACACAAACCTATTATATTTGTTGTACTGTAATAAACAGTCGTTACTTAGTAGTATAAATATATAAACCTGTTCCATCTTCCCCTCATTCTTTATATGTGCATGTATTTGCTTTCTTAACTTAACACATCAAAGAGCAGATTTCTCCCTGACTTCACCAACAGGTTTTTCCTACTAATGTCTTTTGTTATGCATTCATAGCTAAAACTTATACAACTACATTCACCAACTGCTATCAGTCATACATTTTTCACTTTTGCTTCTTAAACAATACAGCCTTCATGGCCGAAACATCTACTGTTTCTGTGGATTCGTCTCACATCACAGGCAATGCTCCACAAACATATTGCTTTTTTATCAGATGCAAGAACAGAGGACAGGTAATAATATTCGTCAGCATTCGAAAAACTTTCTTATGGTCTATTCTTCAATTTGTGTTTAAGCATGAGCTCCCTTTTTATGCAACATACAGCCTTTGCCTCTTGCATTTCAAATATTGCTCAGACAACATGATGACAACACGATCACGTTCAGACATGGATTGCACAGATGGACCATCTCAGTTAGAAATGACTGCTTTGAAGAAGGGTGGCTGGAATATTATCACCAGAACATTACCAAAGAACATGATATGTTGTTGCTTCGACATGCTGGAGATCTAATTTTTGATATTATTCATTTCTGTGAGCTGAAAAAACAAGTTTATCTCCGATGGACAGTTTCCCTACCAAATCTTTTGCATCAGCAAAGCAGTATAGGTTCACAAATTATATTTACCTTTGTAACTTAAAATTCTATATGTACCACTTAGTATATCTTACACTATCATCCTTTCGTCTTACCAGATCCTACCTTTTTATCGCTGCATCAACAAATTGTTTCCTCATCACTGAGCCCAGCTTTCTCTCAAGAATTGTCCAATTCAATCTGCTTTTATCAACCGTTCGACTCAGCATATCCAAGTTCCTTGGTAATGATATTTCCTGCCCAACATTTATAGACAGGTTTCATCCAGCAGAATAATATACCCTTCTTATAAACTTGCTTACATTTTCTTATGTCTAGAAACTCCCTCGGTTTGTTGATCACTTTCTAAATGGTGAGAGAACTCCAACCATAGTTCTAAAAACTGGCCACAAGATCACTGAAGTTGGAATAAAAGGCAACCGCCTCAAACGAAATTGGAGAAACTTTGTACTAGACCATCATCTACAGCATAATGACACCCTTGTCTTCGTTCCAGAATCAGAGACAAGTTTTGCTGTTGTAATCTTTGATAGTAATGGAGTTGAAAAGATTTGCCCTTGGTACAATATATTTTCGTTGTATTTTTATGGTGGACGAATATCCACTTACATATGTAATGCTCAATTAAATACATGATCAACTTATTGTTAACGTCAAAAAATTATTCTGCCAGGGAATATATTCCATTGCTGCAAAAACTTATTAGATTCCTGACAATGCAATGAACTATCTGAACCAAACATCACGCATGACCCAACACTGATCAGCCAAGCTTTTCTTTCTGCCTACAATATTCCCTTACTGTAGATTAAATTTGCAATATCTATTTGTATGTTGCAATACAATTTCATGCATTCAAATAGATTTCCTTTTTTTAATTAATTTAAATTATGGTATTTACTAATTCACTATGACAATTATAACGAATCCTGCACTTCATATATACAATTATGGCCCCTACTTATGTTCCTTTACATATGAGCATTACCGGCCACAGCCATCTTACTTTGCAGGTCTCTAAATTATTCGTTCACCTTATGCACTAATAAAAAGTTGCTCACTTTAAATGAAAAGTTCTGAAATAGAAACAGACAAAATACCACCACCCCAACAAATGTTTCTTCAGTACATACATTACAATGATGGCTTTCCAGCTCGACGCCTGACAATCTGCTTACTCGTTCTGTTTTCAACAGCTCAATCACCTTATTACTCACATTTTCATTACCTACCACGCCTCAAATCATTTACCATTTCTCTACTAGATATTCATGACATGCAACCAATAAATTACATTTAATTTCTTCTTCAAATATCGAGCACACTCACTCCTCTCTTCAATTTACATTCTCTTGCATCATACCCCAAAAATGAACCCTTCTAGCATGCCTTTGTCTGCTATTCATCCATCGTTGAAAGAGTGGGGAGTTATTGTCCAAGTAATTGAAGCAACTCATATTAAATATAACTCAACTCTTCAGCAACATTATCGAACATTTGTCCTAGCTGACACAGAGGTAATATATATCCAACCCTTCCTTTTACCTTCCTATCATCAAATTAAATTCTGATGCAATTTAATACTTGCTAATCACAGGGTACTACAATTCAAATGCATGTTCCTCATCACATTTTAGATCAAAGAACAGAATTGCTTGTCCCCTTTAAAAAATACTACATCTCTGGGGCTTTTGTTTCTCCTCCAAACCCTCATACTACCATCACTGAATATCCATTTCATTTCGTTGCTACCGAAGATACTTTAATTCAAGAAATTCCAGAGACTGGTCAGCCTTCTCTTCCTCTTCATTTCCAGCTACATTCATTCTCTGCATTTGCCGTAATTGCTGACACTGATGAGCTTATAAGTAATTTAACGCTCATACCATGCAATATATTTTCCGGCTCCCAAGAAATTTCTAGCATAGTCAATATATTTTTTAAAACTTTCTTAGATGTCATGGGAATTGTACTACATGCTTTACCTGTCAAAACTATCACCTCTGAGGGAACAACGTCCATTGCTCGAGACTATGTCATTGCCGATCAAGAGTAATAATCTTACCTGCTAATTCAATTTCTTATTCCATGCTTTATATATACAAATAAACTGTTCACAAAAACATTTATTCTTCCTGTGTTGCTAGCATGAGACCATTCATCCTAACTTTGAAGAATGACTTCGAAGAAAACAATGGTCCTGCAATTGCAGCTGCTGAGAACCATTTTCCAGTCATCATTGCCATAAGAATGAAAGTCACAACACAAAACTGTAACCAAATACCTACTATCTATTATTTAGAAAATGGCAACACATTTATTAGCAGAAAAACTATTCCGTTCTTCTTATGGTTGATTTTTTCTTCTTTTTTTCCGCTTAAATACCAGATCTTAGCCTTTCAACTCAAGATTCAACTACTATTTTGATAGCTCCAATTGTGCAACAGGCAACAGATCTGCATCGCTGGTCAGAATTTTTTAGACGCTCTACATCATTCCAATTATTCCATGCCAGCTTAACTTTTCCTTTCTTATTTTAGGTATCATTACAACGCAACTCAGCTAGCACAGATGGTCCATGATCACAGTTATGCTAATCCACGCATCCTTCTTGCTCCCCCTCATCACAATCAGATCCATGACATAGCCGCTCTACTTCACTTCGTAAAATTCTTATACTACCGTCCAATTTCACATCTAAACTTTTTTATTATATTTACTCATTACTATGTCCCATTTCCTCTTCCTAATTCTTTTATTTTATAGAAGCCAAAGACTGCATGGATAAAAGGTGTCGTCGAGCTTGATTCTAAACCTCAAAAATTAACCTATATAGCTTGTCCCAACTGTTACCAACCAGGTAGCTGTATAGATGAGCAAAAAATTATCTGCAAATACTGTCAAGCTAATATTGATCTCCAACCCAGGTACTTATACTTAAAAATAATGTGCACTGCTTATATTAATCAATCTAAATCTCCAATCACATATGCATTAGTTTATTGATTCCAGAGCTTGTATTTCAATTTGGATAACGGATTCAACTGGCACTCTATATCTTACTGCTATGGCATCTGAAGCCGAAAAGCTAGCTCAATTTTCTACCGCTGAGCTATACTATTTGCAATCAGAGGTAATTATCAATATTTTTTTATACAGCACTTGTTTTCCTCTCTTTTTTTCCCCAACTTATGTTTCTTTCTTACTTTATTCGCACCAGAACATAAATATGGCTCAGCACCTCCAAACAATTCTCCACGGAAAAATCATTATATGCTACGTCAAACCCTCAACTCCAAAGTTCAGAATGATGAGACTCTCAACTTATGAAATAATCACTTCCTACACTATGGATGAAGTTCATGACATTGACAACCTCAACATCAATAATCTCAGCATTAATAACTGAAGATCTGCTTATTATGTTTTTTAAATCATGCATTTTCCAATCAACAATGTACGCTCATTACTTGTAATATTTTTCCCTTATATCTTAAATATACTCTTCATTGCAGTTTTAGATTTCCAATTTCTTATTACTTTACACGGCAACATTGGGCATACTAATCTTAGAAATCCACACCGCGCTTACGCGCGGTGCACACCTCCTAGTATCTATAAAGTGGCAAATAAGCATACGGCAACTTTAGACATTCAGGGAGACATTGTGTAAGACACAACTAATATGTAACCAAAGAATTCTTTCCTTTTAATCATTAACCCATAATGCAATAAATTGACACATTTATTCAATTGAATAACAGCATATCAATTCATTAATTTTGAACAAAATCAAGTGCATGCATTACCCACAGCCAATAGTTTCCCAAGTGCATTACTGTACAACAATTTCATGCCATTCGTAAAGGCAAAAGGATGGGGAAACTACACATGCACTACTTTCACCTTTCTTGCCATGCTGCATTGCTCGTTAGTTATTCAATCTCATAGCCAATCATGAACATGACAATTAGTTATCCTAATTGCCAAGAAGCTTAAACCTGCGGACAACATAAACTTCACATCCCATGTTAATTTTAAAAATAAAATTAACACATAGCTTAATCCTTAAAGGTTCGTTTGATTCATGAGATGACACAGGATTGGATTATTCATCCTATATTATCCTATGTTTGGTTGCATTTTACACATAAAATGACACATCCCAACTAACGGAATTAATCCCCAATTTATGGGATAAAATAATCCCATGAGGGAGGTAGTATTAGTCATTCAGGGATGATAAAATTTTAGACTAACTATCCTTACAACAAATAATATAAATTTATACTCTTTTAATTATATAACCTTACCCTCACATAATAATATAACATGAATTGACTAATTTGCTCCTACTAATTAATTTAAAGTTTTTTGACTAATTTGCCCCTACTACCAACATAACAATATTTATACTAGTTTGCCCCTGCAAATGATACAAATTCATAATGAATATTATATAACCATACTCTCACATAATAATATGATAATAAACGGACTAATTTGCCCCTGCTAATTATATTAAAAATTTTAACTAATGCTCTTACTCATTATTTTATTTTTTTTTACAAATTTACCCCTATTAATTAATTTATAATTTTTGACTAATTTACCCCTACTTACATTATAATACTCTCTCCGTCCCATTGAAAGTGTCATGCTTTCCTTTTTTGTCTGTCCCAAAATTAATGTCACTTACCATAATTGGCAATAAAACTTTCCCCCATTTCCATCTCATGCCCTTAAATATACCAGATTCTTTTTAAACTTTTGATGGGCCCCATAAAACTACAAGAGTTGCACTAATATGTGTGAGTCCCACAGCAAATGCAAACAATGGTCGTGCAAGGTACTTTCCAAAAAAACGGTTGGAGACATTTTCGAAGTACGGGTCCCACACATCTTGTCATCCCTTCATTTTCTTTCTGCCACTCAATGGAGTAATGCACAGAAGGGGTACTGCTGGAACTTAGACCAAAATGCGGCACTGTTGAAAATAAGCTCAAGACCCGAAGTGCAACAATCATTTCGGGACGGAGGGGGTAAAAGGACTATGTTGCCGTTGGACTAAATTGCCCTTACTAACATTATTTTCTTAACCAAATTCTATATAAACACATAACCTTATCAATTGGGCTTTGTAAATGAGGGTTTCAATAAGCTCAATCTTAGCCCAAAGAAAATCTTCTACATTGGTTTGAGTTTTACTCATTTCAAACTTTTAAATGGGTTGGATTTTATTCAATTTTACCCTAACTTACCCAAAATTCGACCTATTTTTTAATTGAATTTAACACTAACCCTAACTTACCCTAACTTATCTGTGACGACCCCACTTCTCCCTAAGGCGAACCAGAGGGTTGGCGGGTCACCTACCTAGCTCTCACCAGGACTCACGCAAAAAAAAAAAATCGACTAAACCCTTTCCTCGTATAACTTAAACCTAAACAGAACTCGTCACCCGAACAATCCAAACCTTTGAACGACCAAAATACTAAGAACACATTAACTTCAGAGATAACATTGCCATGGGACATCTGGACATTCACTCTTAAACACCTCTCCAACCAGATCAACACATAACTACAAATATACGTTACAAACCACAAAGTGAAATCAGAAAATACAAATTCGTTCATACAAGCCAAAGTTTAGGGTTTGCACTTTTCCAGCTTCAAGTGGCAACCCAAAACAAAAGATACATAGTCCAAATCATAACCACATTTACAAAAGTTAAAGGTAGACTTCAAGTCTCTCGGATGCCAAAACCTGTTCAGGAAAACAAATAACGTGGGGTGAGCTAAAGCTCAGTGGTGCCCCAAGCATGCAATCATATAAACAAGTAGCAAACCGTAATTTCAAACTAAATTCAACACGTAGGAAAGCGAATAACAGCACAGAGTTGGATACAGGGCTCTCAGGAGCCATTTTCCACGCACTTGATCAAAATTAACCGCAGTTGACCCTCCGTCAACTTTCACTATCTAAAGTCCATGTAGATTCTTGTTTTTTTTTTATCTTAACACGCTCCAACCAACTTACTCCCACCGGGCCCGTTCTTCTCACGAGAGAGTTTGGTAATACTCGAGTATACCTTTTTATAGACTAGTCGAGGGATTCACCCCACGACGTCACAACACGTGTCTACCAAGTCAGGATAAGAGGCCCTCCCACCCTAAGGTGTGGTACGTTCCCCTGCTTGGTGGTTTAGTTGACGAGTCCACTCTCCAGTCAATAATTGCAAAATTTTGGTACTGGAGTTAGGATAAGAGGCCCTCCCACCCTCAGGTGTGGTACATTCCCCCACTCAGTACTTAACTAGTGCGAGCAAGATATTCGAGAAAACATTTCAAATAATTCACCACTCGAAAGGGCTAATGCGATAAAGTACACACTGCCCACTTCGATGGATCAGGAAATCCACTTCCAATTATCACATAACAAGTCAAGAAAGCACGTTAACACATTAGTCATAGAACAAGCACGGACACTCACCAAAAGTGAAGCTCAAAAGTCAAGCTGGGAAATCGCAGTCCACGTCCTCGCTAAACCCTAGAAAACTAAGTTTTACTAAACAAACTCTTGGTTTATATACAAAAGATTATCTGGTATAAAACTAGTTTATTTTCTCGGAATAAATCAATAAATCTCTTAGAATTAAAGTTAGTAAAGTGATAAAATATTTCGTATGATTCCTTTAAAGCTGCTTTTCTTTCTAGAGGTGCAACTAAAACCAAACTAATTCAAACAAGTTTTCTGGCCGAACAAGTTTTCTATGCCTTTCATTTAAAATTATTAAAATCTAGTGTTTTTAACAATTTTCCTCTAAAACAACTAGCCATGGAATAATTTTACGAAAATTTTAAAGTTCGGGAGTTAATGCAATTATTTCTTAAAGGTAACAAAGCTAGTTTAAGTAAAGAAAAGAATTAACTAGTTAGCAAAGTTTTTTTTTTTAAAAGTCCCGACACTCAAATTTGAGCATTATCGTACTATACTCAATTTCTATAACTTGATATTAAGACGAAATATTTCCACAAAGCTTGATTTAAAAGTACTCGAATTCAAAAGACCAAAACGGACTTCACGGTTCCAGCTCATTTGCACATTGTATTCCAAGTCACCAATGTAGTAAAATCACAATCCAAACATCAATTTCACTAGGGCTTCATCAATCATTAGCCCTAGATCTCAACAGATTCAATTCCAATCAAAATTAAACAAAGGAAGTCCAAGATATCAAACGATTCCAAACCACAATTCATGGACCTTCCAAGTACATTTCGGCCAAACCGTTTAAACAATTCCACCACGAATTAAACTCTTGCAAAAATTACTCAAATGGCCAAGAGCTTCATCAATCATTAGCTCTTGACGACAAACAATCATTCCTTACAACAATTAACCAGAAATTCAACCCAAAACAACAAGGAAAGCCACGGCTAGCTTACTCATAAACACTCCAGAAATTTAGATTCTCCCTTGTTTCGACAACCAAGAAAAATTCCAGCAAATGACAATTCAAGACGTCCATCAAATCTCCACCTTTTATTTCCTTGAAACACTAAACACATAGCTCATAATCTGTCCAACCTAAACCAAAACAAATAACACACAATTCCAGAAAAATAATCTCACCAAAAGCCTCAACTAATTCGGCCAGCAACCATATACAATTTCCAGCAATATAACAGTCAGCCAAATACACATTTTCCTCCAATAATATCTTCAATTTATGTTCAAAGCTTTCATGCATGTTCAGATCAAGCCAAAATATGATATGTATTACAGTTTGACATAGAAATTCAAGGCCAAAATTCATAAAAATAGCTAGAAACTTCACCATTTCCTTCATTCGGACAACCTGGAAAAATTTCCAGCAAATAACTCTAGGAATTCAGATTTTTTTCTCCCTTGTTTTTTTTTTTCTTTCACGGTTCATCAGCTACATGCAAGACCAAATAAACAGCTATCTATCAGTTTTGATCCAAAACCAAGTTCGGACAACATCAGAAGTTACCATCCAACCAGAAATTCATTCGATCCTTCTCGGTTAGCTTGCATGCAAGCAGATTTTATGTTCCTTCAATTTTCTTGCTTAATCAAGGTTGATTAACCTCATGCAAAGCTTAATCATCCAGTTTTTGGTTAGCTAAAAACACATTTAAACTCAGATTATCACAAATTGGCCAACTAAAGCTGCAAATTTCCAGCTTACACACTCGGCAACTCCAATTCCTTCACCATCAGATTTCTTGAGACTTAACTTATCATCCAACCGCACCACCCTCACATGCATGCCCCTAAATAACTTCATCAACCTATAGACAACTAGTCTAAGTCCAGAAATTACCTCAGCTTGGAGCTCAACACACGCGACCAGCAGCGGAAATATTTCTCTCCTCTCGG